TATATATATATATATATATATATATATATATTATTTGTGTATATATGGATTCATACATGTATTAATTTAAATTTTAGGAGAGATAGAGAAGCAAAGAAGCGGTAGTTGTAGCATCGTTTCATGCAGATCCGTATGGACAGGTGTTTATTTTCCACGGTGTATAGACAGCGGGGAGCTAAGGCAACGGAGGGAAGGAATAGCATTTGCTCATAGATTTAGGAAGAGAGGAAGAAGGCTTTGTTATTTTAGTCGGGTGTACAGACACGGCAGGGAAGACAGCCAGCAGGAGAGTAGAGCAGAGCTGAGGAGACAGTCGTCACGAGGGATGAAGCAGAGTTGGACGTGTTAATCGGCTTAGCATAGGCCTATCCACGAAATATTACGTCAATATTTTCGTTTTCAAGAGCGGGTTTGGGGCTTGTGGTTTAGGGTTAAGGGTTTGGAGGGTTGCTTGCGGCTTGAGGCCTGCGCGGCACGCGGGCCTCGATGTTAGTGGTAGTGGTGGATTAAGGGGGTTTTAAAGAACAGCAGAGTTTGCTTTATATTGTTGAATTGAGTTAAAAGGATTAAAAGGAACCCAATTTGCAGCAGCAAAGCCTACAAAATCTCATCTTTTTCTTGCGGTCGCTGCTGCCGAGGCGCTGCCGACGGTCAGCTGGGAAACACACGGGAGCAACAGGGGCTCAAAGAGAGCGTGATATTGATTTTATCAATATTTTTCTTCTTATTTTCTTTCCCTTGTTTCTCTTATTCAAACTATCTCCGCTGTTTCATGCCGCAAACAGGAAAGATAAATGCAGAAAATTCTGCGGAGGCTCCCCCCGCTTCTCTTCCCTCCTCTCTTCATCCCTACACTGCAAACTCCAGAAGCTACTGCTGCGGCAGCCCGCAGCTCACTCTTGCAGCTAGCTGCCACTGCCTGAGTCACTGCTGCGGGTGCAGCAGCTGTTGTTGTTGCTGTTGAGGTCGTTGGCGCTGCTGCAGTAGTTGCCTGAGGCCTAGCAAGTGGAGACTCGCGTCGCCGTTGCTACTGCTGCTACTGCTGCTGCTCTTTGTGTGGCAGCAGCAGCTTCGCCCATGGGGCCTGCTGGTACGGGGCATTTGTTCAGTGGCTGCAATGGCGGCAGCAGCAGCGTTGGCAGCAGCAGCTGCTGCTGCTTGTGCCTCGTCGGCTGCAGTTTGGAGCGTTAGGGTAGGGCTTTCAACGGGATATGCTGGCCTTAGCGGCTCTCTCAGATGGAGGACGCTGCTGTCGTTGCTGTTGCTGCTGCTGCCGCTGTTATTGCTGCTGCAGCTGCAGCCTACGAACAGCAGGGTGTTGTTTGTTTCTCCTCATGGGGGGGCCCTTTTTGGCTTTTCAGCTTCTATCGACGCAGAGTTTGCTCCTTGGGGCCCCCCCGTAGAAGAGGTCGTAGGTCAACTTGTGTACAAGGGAAGCAGCTGTGCTGCAGCAAACCCCACGTTGCTCGGTTTCTCTTATCTGGACTTCCGCCCTCAGTTGCTGCAGCTGTCTCTTGTAAATAAGCTCAAGGGTTTAGCAGGACACCTGCTACCCAGTGCAGATCCCCGTGCTGCTGCACCTATTACTACTGCTGCTCCTCCTCTTGTTCCACTTGGTTATGCTACTGCTCCTCCTCCTGGTGGGGGGGAGCCGCGTGAATGGGCGTCCGATCCCTTGGAAGCAATAGCAGCGGCAGCAAAAGCAGAAGCAGACGCCGCAGCAGGTGGAGCTGCTGCAACAAACGGAGATAGCTGGAGGTGGGCTTTGCAGCGGACAGGTCGCCTTCGGCGGGAGTCCTTACATCTTTTGCTCCCTTTTGTCTCCACTCTTATTCTCAGAGCCATTACCACCGATCTGAACTCCACATCAGCAACAGCCGGACTGCCCCTCTCCCCCTCCACTCTTCTAGAACAGCAGCAGCAGCAAGCGGACCAGCGCCCGGTTGATCCTACAGGAGCAGCAGCACTGCCACCAGCAGCAGAACCAGCAGCAGCACCAGCAGTACCAGCAACGGGACTGGATGGCTCTGAGAGGGGAGGATTGAAGGGAGTGTTTAAGGGTTTATCTTTGCGGGGTAGCCGCTGGCGACTGGCAGGCGTACAAAAGAGGGTTTGGTTATTCGACCGCTGCACAGAGAAGGAACTGCTGCAGCTAATAAGAGCAGCAAATAGCTCTGGTGTTGCAGCGCTGCTCTTAACAGACACGCCCTTTAAGGATTACTCACTCCCGTTGCTTGGGAATGTCTTTGCTCCCCAGCCCCTTATGCCTGTGGTCTCCCTGCCGAACTCGCCTTTGCTGCAGCACGTGAAGCAGCGTGCAGCAGCAGCTGCTGCAACAGCAGCAGCAGAGCCGCTGTACGCCCTTGTCGATCGTCTGCCTTCCAAGGGAGCCGACTGCAGGGCGCAGCAGCCGTTACTGCTTGCCTCGCTTGTTTCTCTGCCTCTCTGGTGTCTCCTTGCGTGGAAGGCGCAGAGGGAGAGCAGCGGAGCAGCAGGAAGAGATGCTACAGCTCTGCACCGGCTGCTACTGCTGCCCCCAGCCTTAAAGGCTGCTGCTGCTGCTGCACAATCCGTCTTCCTACTGCAGTGCCCCTCTTGGAGTTCGTCCGGCTCCCAGTACCTCGTCATGGCTGTCTTAACATTCGAAACCCTTTTTCAGACGTCCTTCTCCGCTTGTCTCCTTCTCATTAGCAAGGGATTTCTTATCATCCAGGAGACTCTCACCAGCAAACAGTCACTCACTCTTGCGCTCCTCGTAGGCCGCAAGTTGCTTGCGTTTCTTCCCTCTCCCTTCTTCTCTCTCTTTCTTCCTCTTCTCTCCTTCTTGCATCTGTCTCCTTTCGTCTGTCTTATTTTCTTTTCTCCCTCCTCCTCTCTTCTGTCTCCTTCCTTAGGTCTCCTTGCTTCTGTCTCCTTTCTTGTGTCTCCTTGTCTCCCCATTTAGTCTGTTTCTTCCCCTTTTCCGTCTCCTCCTGTCTTCTGTCTTCCCCGGTGCGACAGAAGAGCCCCTGAAGAGTCGGTGATCTCACTGCTTCGTTGCTGCTACAGCTTGTCCTTTTATGCGGCGCTCCCCTTTGCTGCTGATGCTGCAGGTGAGCGCGGTGTACGTGTTGAGCAGCGTAAACCAAGTTGACCCGTTGGAGTGCCTGCCTCTCCGTCTTCTTCTTCTGCTTCTGATTTGCATTGTGGTACTCCGCTCTTGTAAGGACTGCATCCTAAAAATTGAGGTAGGCTCAGCAGTAGCAGCAGCAACATGCGTAATGAACACAGACCAGCAACCGCAGCAACAGCAATAACAACAGCAGCAGCAGAGGCAGAAGCAACAGAAGCAGCAGTTTATGTCTTTGCGTATAGTTTGTACAGACATAGCTGTTGTGCTTCTTCTCTCTTTCCTCTCGACTCTTTTGTCTATTTATTGTTTGTGCTGCTGTTGTTGCTGCTGCTGTGTTCAGCTGCGGCTCGAATACGTGAGGGCAGCGGGTTTGCAAGAGCTCCAGGCAGCCCTTGAATTAAAGGAGAGGATGTTTAAGATCCATGCAATTAGTTGTTGCCTCTTTTTCGTCTGCTCCGCTGTCTCCTCTCTCACCTGTCTCCTTCTTCTGGATCGCCCCGACCTTAGCGATGCTGTTTCCTACGGTCTTGAGTTAGCTCTCTGGGCCGTCGTCGCCTTTACCTTCAAACCCAGAAGAGGCCTCCCCTATTTTTCCCTCCTTCAGGTGCTCTTCTGCCGCTGCTGCTGCTGTTCTCGTTGTTGCTGCTGCTTTTACTGCTGCTGCTGAAGTTGTGCCTGCCGGTTCTGCACTGCCTTCTGCCGATGATGATGCTGGCCCGGCTGTTGTGTCTAAGTGGAGTTGATTCTGTTGCTTCTGATGGTGCTGCCGCTGGTGTTCCTCAAACTGCTGCTGTTGCCGTTGTTGTTACTTCTGCTGCAGTTGTTGTAGTTGCTGCTTCTGCTTCAGCAACTACTGTTGAGTTTGTCTGCTTCCGTTTGGTTGCTGTGGTTGCTCTGTTTCTTGTTGCTGTACGACATCTAAATGTGTGTTTGCATTCCTTGCGTCTCCATTTCCGTGGCGATATGTCGCGTGCTGTCTCGGTTGCTGCAGTCTAACGAGCAGCAGTCTGTTCTGCCAATGTATGCCGCTGCTCCGCTGTTGAGGAGGAGCGAAGACGGGGCATCTATGTGGGGTTCCGAAGCAGCATCAGCCGTAGCGGCAGCAGGAGAAGCAGCAGCAGCAGGTGGTACAGTAGGGTCGGCAGCAGCAGGAGCAGCAGGAAGAGGCGCAGCAGGAGGAGGAGGACCTTTCTCAGAGCCTTTTCCTGAGGACTGTCCTATTGTCATCTTAAACCCATCATCTCCAGGGCAGCGAGAGGCTGTCTTTAAAGATGTTGCACTCGGCACTCTTGTCAGCTCAAGAGCACCAACAGAAAGGCAACAAACAAACTGTAAATTACACCACCACCAGCAATAAATGCTACTTTTGCTGTTGTGTACTTGCCGGTACTGTGGAGGCTGCATATGCGTGCCGTTGCAAGTGCTGTTGCCCCTGTAAAATTCAGGTAGTGATGATGCTCCAAGGCTGCTGCTGCTCACTTCCTTGCAGCCCCCCTTCTTGCCTCTGCCTTTGCTGCTGCTGGGCTGCTGTTCCTTTGCGGAGACACATTGCAGCAGCAACTGCTGCAGTACACCTGCACCCGTGTGTGTGTTTTCTTCGTAGGATGTCTCGTGCCCTCACACCAACACCAACAGCACCAAATGCAGCAACAGAAGGTGCGGCAGCAACAGAAACCAGGTGTTTCTACACTGCGTGCCAGCTGTGTTGAGGGTCTTTAAGATAATGCCTACCCTCCTACACGTGTATCGTCAGCGTAACTCCCCAAGCCCCGGCAAACCAACAAAGAACAGCAGCCGCAATAGAAGCACCAGCAGCCGTTAATTGCAGCACAGATATGCATGAATGCAGCAGGTCCACATTTTGTCCTGGTAGAAGAGCAATGTCGCAGCAGCGGTGCTGCCATCCGCAGCAGCCGCTGCTGCTGCTGCTACCGTTGCTGCTACTGCTACACAGAAAAGGCTGTGCTTTACTCTTTGTAAGCTCCGTTGGGAAGGCCATTAGAAGCAGACAGCGGGTAATTTGCATCTGTCTACTTTCTCCTCCCCTCAATAAATGCTTGCCTTAAGGTCTGTGTCTGATGACTGCCGCTCCTAATCAAGTCTCAATCTCTAACCTCTCACAAACTCTAATAAACCCTACCCACAACCATCAGCCAGCCGCTAACATTAAAGACGCAAATTATACACTACCCAATACAACACCCCTAAGCCATTTGATTCCACGGTAATAACAAATAATAATAGTATCGTACACCACCTATCATCGATTCCAGTATATGGCAGCACTCTCTCCTTAGCCCCCTCGTTGACACCGCTCACAGTACGGCGAGACAAGAAATCGAGAAACAGCAAACAACACATGAGATAGCTGTGGTAGCAAGAGAGACCTCTAAAGGCGACAGTTGAACGGCGAATGGCCGTCTGTGAAGAGAGTTTGATATTTGTCCCTTTGCCCTTTCTCCCAGCCTCCAAGCACGAAGCAGTTTCATGCAGCCCCAACGTTGCCTACTGTTCGCTGCGGGGCCTCCGCAAGCTTCGTGAGACAAAGACCCTAACCAACCGGCGAGTCCTCTCAGCAGCAACAACAGTAGTAGCAACAGCAGCACCTGTGGGTAGGGAGATGTACGGCATTCAACAGCCTGGAAGCTCCTACATTCTGGTTTGGGGTGTATATACAGGGTGTATATACAGGTGGTTATGCTGCTAGTTCTGGTTCACAGGTAGCAGCAGCACTGAGAAAACCAAACCGGGGCGACAGCCAAACCTACCCGGCTGTGCGGATGCCGCATGCCTGGGCAAGAGCAGCAGCGCAATACTCGCTGCAGCAACGGCTCTTGCTGCAGCTGCTGCTGCAGTTGAAATCGCTTCTACTGCTATTGTACTTTAACTGCTGCTGCTGCTATGCTGCTGCTGTGCTGCTGTTGCTGCTTCCGCCCTTTAAATGAAGCCGGGCCTCCGACTCGAAGTCCCCGAGTCCGCTATGGGTTTCGGCCGAGGTCGACAGCAGCAGCACGAGACCAAAAGAGACAGTTTCCCCTCTCTGTGTCTCCTCCTCTGTTTCCTCATTTGTTCATGGTGAGAGAAAGCATTGCACCCCAAGAAGAAAACCAAATGTAGTTCTATGTCTTCCCCATAGCCCTCCCTAAACCCTAAACCCTGCTGCGTCCATTCCGCCGCTGCTGTACTACTTTCACTTTCACACAACATTTGTCGGCGCTTCTTCTGGACGCTTTACTGTCGCCTCTGCTAAAGATGCCTCCAAGAAGTCCTCGTTCCGCTTCTTCATTTCGGGGCTCAAGTCGGACATTCGTTCCATCAGGCCCTTGCACAACTGCATGCACAAACCCTAAATCCCAAACAAGACAGCCTAGACCCCCCGGGCCAAAAAACAACGAACCTGCACGGCACCTCCTAAATTTTAGACACAATGTTCACACACTTGCTGCTCAACCCCTAAATCATGTAGACCATAATACTAAACCCTAAACTGAATCCTTACACTTCCGAACCCTAAACTGGTGCCTCAGGAGCCGCTTAAATCTGAAGAAGAATTCCTAAAATGGCAGTATGCATCTCTCCCAACAACAGCAGCCCGTCCATTAACCTTCACTATGCAACCCCGTGCTAGCTGAACAACTAACACGTCCTACCCTTGCCGCAAGATTCCCCTCTTCAGGAAGTGGCAATTTGGGGCTGTTCTTCATAGCTTCAGGAAGAACAGCCTCCCAAACGTCTGATGTGAAAATGTTAGCGAACATAACCATGTAAACCTCATCGGAGTGGGGGACATCCAACAACGTGTCCGCAATCCGCTTCGCCGCAGTTCTGGAGAAACTGCAACAAAAAGAGCAAAAGAAGCCCACCTAGTATATGAATTCACTCATGAATTCATCAGTAGAAATGAGCGAAACAAATACCTCTACCCATCAATTCATCGACGAATTCATCAAAAGAATCTAACAAAACAAATCCCTAAGTGGAAATCAGCAAAACTAATACACCTATGGAACAGCACAACCGGTTCAGCAACAGCTGCAGCACGAGGCTGCCGGGTAAGAAGCAGGACGCAGGAGAAAGAGATGAAGCACAATCGGCAAGCACCAGCAGCAACAGTAGAGGCAGCTGGGAAAAGGATGGAACTTACAACTCGAAGAGCGTTACGGGGTCTCCTGTCGCCCTTAAATGTTCAATAGAACAGCTCGCTGTCAGTTTACCATACTCGACAGCCGTATTAGGCGACGAGGTCCACAGTGCTCTGTTGAACAAAGCAGCAATCTGCTCGGCGCGCTCGCTGTCTTTCAGCTCCATGAACTCCCCAATAAATTTTCGGCTGCAACACAACGCGTAACGCATGCATGCATAGTAAGAAAACGCATCTATATATATATATATATATATATA